GCCGTCACGTCTGCTAAGGTGGCATTTTGTTGAGTCGTCGCCTTCGATCAGTTGTTCTTTTGCGAGTTCCTCCTGTGACAGTTGCCGCAGTGGGAGTTGTCCCGCACTTGACAGCGAGACTGATTTTTAAAAAAATAGCGAAAGACGTCCCATCATTTGAGAAGGAATCCACATTATGGAATCCTCACTCGAATACCGAACACCCTTTTCCAAAAAAAATAGGCAAAATGAAATTTGCATGGGGCTTCACGTGTTTATATATATTTGCTGGAGTCGTCTAGGATCCAGCTGTAAATGGCCTTTGGATGATTAACTATTTTTACTTGAAATCGTCTTAAAATTCCTTCTACGAAACCCACACTGCCGTTTCAGTGAGGAGCACGATAGCGCTGGAGTCCTGATTTATTTCGGAGCGTTTACAGTGGCAAGCTGTTAATTGAAAAAATGAGCAGAATCTATCGTCTCCTCCGATGTATTCTGAAGAAATTAAAAATTCGCCTCGATTTCGTCGCAGACCAATAGTTGTTTTCACTTTCGAGGCACAATGAATGTGGCGTCTCACAATCGCTGACGACGCCTCATGCATTCCAGTAAATGCGGTTCATGCCAGACATGGTACAAAATTGTGTAAAAAAGAGAGAAAGGTTTGATCAGATCATACCTGTACTCATGTTCAAGGCATCGTGACTGTTGACAAGGTCAGTTGATCGGATGCGATGAGAAGCGGCGCGTTCCAGGCCGGAGCGCAAACTCGTTTCCTCGGCCTCGTCCAGGCGCCCAGTGGCTGCCATGGCGTGGGCCATCTTGATCATCAGGTCAATGGTCATTTTGGAGTTTTCAGACACAAAAACTGGGTCGCGTTCGCGCTGAACGAAGCCCAGTTGCTGCAATGCTATCCGCGCTTGCACGTTCACTGCTTTCAGGCGGATTCGGCGCAACGCCTTGGTGATGAAGGAGAAAACCGTCGCCCAGTACGCGAGTCCGATCACGACCCACATCGTCATCACGATTTTGTAAAGCGCATCCACGTTTTTATTCGTCACGTGTTCTCCTGTCCAACAAACAATTCAAGAATGCAAGAAATCTCATTCGCAAAATTTCCCAGCTGGAAATTTCTAAGTTTGTGAGGCTGAATGGCGACAATGGTTAGGTCAGCTATGAATGACATATACTCGGATCATGCCGCATAAGCATACAGTAATTATTAAAAAATGAATAATGAACATTTCTACATCCAGTAAAGAACGCAAGTCGCACCAGGCAATAGTTTTTATCTTGAACCGGGAAGTTCGTTGTTTGGAAAATTTTAAAACGTTCTGTACAAGGTTACGTGAAGGTGTTGTACTCAGCATTAAAATTTCAACAAGTTAAAAGAACATTTTGAGGGTGGGCTGCAATCAGCACGATAGGTATGCAAACAATAATATTTTTAGTAAGTTCATTCATTGGAAAAGTGCGAATTATAAATGATTGAAAACGGTCTAGTGGTTGGAATTGTTTTGAAATGAAAACAATAAATCTGGTCATCCGAAACCGGAAAAAAAGATATGGTATCTGGAAATCTTATGCAGTACATTGTTTTTTTTTTTTTAAATCCACTGTATATCACCAGAAAAGAGGAAAACTCGAGGGCTAATTAATTATAGCGACAGTAACAACCGTCATATGTGACGTATCAGATCTCATTTCACACCTGCTTCCGCAGTAATTGGATTTGATAATCTAGATGCTCGTGCATAACGGAGTCGACTTGAACAATACCTTCGCTCTGTTCAGGGCGTGACTAACCGTAACCAAGCAGAGAAGTTATCATCAAGCAAGTGAAAAATTGTCAATTCTAGGGCACTATAAGTTGACGGATTTCATAACAGTTTCCACATAACAAAGACAAAAATTCCTCAAGCACGAAGGTCACGTTAGGTAATTTTGATCTAGAATAAATTATTAGAATCTGTATAGTAATTTGGTTTGGTCTCCTCGAGGTTAGCTTTTGTTCTAACAAAAGGTACGAGTGAATCGAATAGCAGAACTTGCATCATTCCGCATTTCATGAGATGGGATGTCCACGAGAAATACTTCAGAAGAATTTTGCGACTACAGGTACTGCAGATTGTTCATGTAATAAAACCCAGTTCCTACGTCTTTTAGCACGGTCATATTTTGTCTGAGTATCATAAAAATTGTCTCGAAAGATGCGCACGGCATGGCTGATAACGAGGGAATAGTTTCTCTTCCAGAATCAAGACACTTCGTGATGTCTAGAAAGTAAAACAGGAAAAAACTCTCTCCAAGTCCTTCGATACTTCATCGATCAAACCTAATAATCTGATAATATCTTGCATCATGGTTCGATTTCCGTTCGTGCTTTTCCAGCAGAAAACATTTTCAAGGAAAAGAGTTGGAATAAAAAAAAAAAGTGATTTGTATTGCTGCGACGCAGCACGTACTCCGTATAAGCATTCGTTGCAAGGTCATGATTTATGCTCGAAGAGTGTTCTATCGACGATCAGCTCAGAACGATGATAGATGGCTCTAAATTATCGATCCTCTGATCGCAAAAACATTATGGTACCAGTCAACACTTCCGAGAGGGCATATGTGATTATTTCAGGGTGAGGGTTAATTGATGCGGAAATCACGGCGGCGATGAAACAAACTCAGAAATGTTCTTTCTACGAAAACACAATGATTAATATGATGTCCTTTTTAACCTCGCTAGAATCGTAAAAAGCTTCAGATCAAAAAGTCTTTCGTGCAGAATTCACATTTCAGCAATTTCAGAATTTATATCCCGGCAGGTGTGATTTCACCGAGGTTTTGTACGCGATGGACAAAAAGAGGTGTATACTGATCGTCAAACAAGAATTCAGCATCGTATGTTTGGTCAGCGATTTGAAGAACTGAACATAAAGAAAAATTTTGAAATTTTGAAAGAATCGCGTCTATCCACAAGACGAACTTTTAATTTTTACGTCCAGTGGGAAATACGATGCACGAGACACTGCGCCTTCTTCTGTACGATACATTAGACGAAAACTTTTAAAACCACAAAATTATTATCGAATTTAAAATTATATTTTAGTCTTTTTTTAAATTTCTTCTCATTAATTGTCAATTTTTTTTCAGCAGAAGCTCAGACCATGCCTTGCTACTATTCATTGATTACCAAAAAGGTGTTCGACGTGTCCAGAAATTCATTTTCAGAAACAAAAGAATCCTTTCTTCAAAGCGTAAATGTCAAAGGAAATCTTGCATTGAATGAATACAACAGATAAATACCACATGCTGTTGTTGAAAATGGTCCTGGAGAAGCAGAACATGTTTCACAACATTGTAGTTTGATTAAAACATGCGCTGAACCTGTCGAATCTGGAAAAGGCCTTGACTGAGTATGAACATTTGAGGAGGAATGTTAGTACAGTACTGTAAAAACGCTCTTTCATGGGTAGTTTTTATTCAGAACAAAGGGTATTGTCAGTCACGCCATAAGCCAGCTAAGGCACGAGATTATGAATTTTGGAAACGGAATTTAGTGAACTTCGATTTTGTATTTTCCTTCAACTTTATCAGCTTCAACCAACCAGGGATTGAATAGTGCATTAAACGTCGACCTACCTCATGTAGGTAAATCCTGCCGCAAAGACCCTATACTGTATATAGCAATGAGATCCTGCACCATTTCTTGAAATGGTTCTCACCTGGAACGAGGTCCCCGAAGCCGATGGTGGAGAGCGTGACAAAAGTGAAATACAAAGAGTCTCCATAGGACCAGCCCTCGATGAGCGAGAACAACAGCGCCGGCAGGAACATGAGTACCGAGAAGCCGATACAGATGTAAACCACGGCAGCGAACATCAGTTTGTGGCGCTTCATCTCAGTCTCGCTGGGCTCGTCTGGCACATCTTCGCCCATGATGTCAGGCTCCACGCGCTCTTTCCAGAACGTGAATCCCCGGTCGTATACGTACATGAGACCGAGTGAAAAAGTGTCTGCCAAGGCTGCCAACAGCAGGCCCGTGACGGGGATCCCGATCAGGGCATACACTATACAAAACAGCCGACCCGCGTCGCTTTTCGGCGCCCGGTGCCCGTAGCCTTATAACAGGACAATAGAACATAAATTATCCGGAAACCGACTAGCCGTGTTCACAGCTCGGACCAGTCCATTTTTACAAATTATTCTTTAAAATCCCACGAGAATTGATCCGATTAACCCCAGACTGATCCAGGGAAGTTTGTTTCTCTCTTCTTTTACTCCTTCTATACAAATACCGTACACTCGTACAGCATCGTTGACATTTTTCCTTTTTAATTTGCTTTGAGAATTGAACTGATTAACCCCGGGAACGTTTCTTTCTTTCTTTCTATTATTTAATCCACAATTACGACAACCCATTAATGTTGCTATTTTAAAATTTTTAAATGCCCATTGAATCGAGCCGATCAACCCCAGGCGGATCAAGTAAAGTTTGCTTCTCTCTTCTTTAATCAATCTACAAGTACAATCTCGTATATTTTTGCAAGTTTTTCCTGCATGAATTTCAAGTGGCCACATTAACCATGAGGTTGAACGAACAATTTGAGGAAGTACCGTAGTACAGTACTTGAAAGTCTATGAATTTAAATTATCCTAGTGTATAAAGCCAAATTCACAGCATGTCCAGCGTTCAAGATTCGACAGTTCGAACATATCCTCCCCACGACATTAGCCAGGAATATTTTTAGCTTCCATGATTTTTTAACGATAGTTGCTGAGAAAATAATAAGCCCCCGATTTCATGGCCAATATTATACATTCATGATACTCATATACTCTCACAAAAAGAAAACAAGATAAAATTAATTTGAAAATCGACTGTATACCACTGAGAACAAGAGACCCCACCAGGCCAGTATACTGCACTACTTTCTTCGAATAGACAATGGCGTGAGGCATGTTGCTTATAACTATTATCGAGACAAATTCGCCGTGACATCGAATATTTTTCACGCCCATTTCGGCACCAAGATACCCGTTGACCACTTTCGAATCGATTGGAGACAAAAAAAAATCTTTCATTCTGGTACCCAGGAAAAACATGATTGAGGTTCTTACCGATGGTTGTCACCACTGTCATGGAGAAGAAAACGGCGTCCAACAAATCCCAAGCGGAAACTTCGTCTACCTCAATAATAATATGCGTGGCATTTTCACACTGCATCATGACCTGATGCAACAAACCTTCTGGATCATGTTTCCACGTCGTCCAATTGGCTTTAAAGGGTCGAGAAAAGATAAAGGAATTATCTGGGAACAAGGGGGACCAAAGGAACCTCGCAAAAAATATTTTATTGGGAGAAACTCGGCCAAGAGGTCAAAAAGGACCGTTTCAAAACGAAACGGATCCGGAAATCGCAGCGATCTGGCTGAATAATTCTGCCCAGCCTTGAAGAAACGAGGATTCGACTAAAAAAAAAAAAAGTTATGCGATTCAACTTCCATCCTACGAACTATGATCAAATAAGACTCTACTCCGAACGATAGGACCACCCGGAAACAAGCGATCGTTGAGCCTCAACCCTACCAAGGAACGTTCTCTCAAAATAGAAAGCCACTTTGAAAGGAGAATAGGGAACCAGCAGTAAATTCGCACACTGGTGGCGGAAGCCATTCAAAAAACCCGTTTTATTATTCAAATCAGCTGCGACTCAGTCAGTCGGACATTAGTTATTCGCGGCTAGCCGACGTAAAATTCGCCCGTAAAGGGCCAACATTAAATATTGAGGCAACAAGAGGGTGCGAAGACTCTCTTACATTCGAAAAACAAACTGAGTCTTGAGCGGAAAACCTGAACGAATGAATGCGAGCGTTTCCTCTGATTAAAATCATAAAAAAAGGCCATCGAAAGCTCGAGGAAACCTGCTTGCGTAAAACAGAGTTTGCCAAGCATTCATCTTTAGCAAACATATTCGAAGTCTTTTCGTACAACAATACGTCCAGAGATAATTTATGTAAAACCGTGTTTAGACTTCCGTGCTTCGGAGAAAACCACTCTAAACAAAGCAACGAGACGGAAAGTACCTACTGGAAATCCCCCGGGAAAGGAGCTCTAAGACGCAAGTCGTCACGAAGAAAAGCACAAAAAGCACCGAGCACAGAACGCCTAAAAAATTACAAATGACAACTTGTCTTACACATCCAACAAAAACTTTCCTGAAATGTAAGAGGTGTGTCCCAATTTACTGTACTTCAGAATCCTTGTACAGTAATACTTCAGACATTTAAGCTCCGTTTTCAGAGAAACGATTTTCCTGTGAAACTATTATTCATGGTGTGGTTTTACTGCTAACTATACTGCTTTTTTTTCTGGGGGCTTTCTTCGTAAGCAATTTTCGTCCCAGCAGTGCTTTTCACCTTCGTGATTTTCTCCCCTAGGTTTATGTTCGCGTAATTTTTCCTCCCAAGGGCTCAAAACATACGAGATTTCTTTAGAAAAATATGAATAAAATCGATTTGTCATTGGTTGAAAATCAAATCAAATAAAAGTTAATAAGCTAATTAAGTTTACTCAAAAGAGTTCAATGTTCTATAGAAGCTTAAAACACAGCTCTCGGTTATGTGTGAAAAAAAAAAAATTGGGGCCCAACGTCTGAACCATCTTATTATAAAAATGAGACAAACTGCCACTTCCACCGTTGAGTCAAGTTGGATGTAATCGTTTGAACAAGAAAATTTCCTTTGAAAACTAGTGGAAAATACTGACTTACCGAAGTAATCTTTTAGCTGATCCGCGGATTTGCAGTTGCGACCAAAAGCATCCCAAGCTGGCGTTTGAGTCAGGTTCACTTTGTCTGACTTGACGGCTAGTTTCACGCTTCCTGTGATACCAAAGGCATTCATAAAATCCTCCAAAAACACGGAAATTTACGAGATTTTGAATAACCCCATTAAGGAGTAGGAGACAACATTGTTATATCCAACCCGTTGTTCCAGTACAACTTATCCTTCCAATGGCTTCGACGTTTTGTTATGCTTATTGAAACGTAAGTTAATATGTTCCAACCTTCCTTGAAGAAAGCAATTCAGCGTTCAAAAAATTATCGTTAGAATTAATCTCTCTCCTTCTCACACATCGACGACGGCTTAAGATAATCTCTTTTCCGATAAAAAAAAAAAATTATCGTGAAAGATCCGACAGGCGCACATAATTTTAAAGTTTCTTTGTCATGGGCCAAGAGCGAATGCAAAAGGAAAGTGCATCCATGCAGATTTCCATTCGTGCAGTACTCGAGCAATGGGATAGTACCAATCGTCCCATGTGAAAATTCAGAATTCGATTTCGAAGCTGTGTCCCATTTCTCGATGCTTTTCCTTGTGAGCATCTTGGCTCATACTTCACCCTGTTAATAATTCAGCAGCTAATGGCGATACAAAGTACAGTAAAACGAGTAATGTAAATAAGATAGACCGACCATCAGATTTTTTTTAATGATGATTACTGATGATTACAATTTTCAAAATACTGTAGATCATGAGCTAGTATACGGGAGTTGGAAATACAGTTTCACAATAATTATCCGAGTTAATGACTAGCAGCTTTCCCTCGGATGATCAAACGTTACGGAGAATCAAGCTTTTTTTTAATACTCAAGGGTACATTCAATGATTCTTTGTAAGGCTTATATTACCGGATTTCTCAAATGGCAAAATACTGCATCATAGAGGTTCCATCGAACTTTACATAAAAAGTTTGCGTTACTCTTATATTGATGTAGTACTGTATCGACGTTCGCTTCGCTTATCCTGCTACATTTTTAACTCATTGTTCGAAAACTCCGTTCCCAAAGGTGTTATTCTGAATTTTACAAGAAGTTTCGAGAAAAAACGTAACTTCAATCACGGGGAAATTAATCAAATTAACTGAGATCGTATATGACAATTTTTATCTTCGGTTGGCTTGCAATTTCTTATTGGTATGCTGTTGAATGCATAGTTGATCGAAATCTGGATAAACTCACCTCCTTCTGAAATTCCATACAGCGATTCAGAATCCAAGGATAAACCAATGGGTACGGAATCTTTAATCATTGAAGATTCTATCTCCTGAATATTAAAAGCGAAAAAAAAAGATTTGGGCTTCCAAAACTTCGGGACAGAAATGGAAAACAAGGAAGTTTATAAGTTCCAAACGTAGAATTGGAGAATTTTTGAAAAACAAAACCCGATTTTGCTGCCACTGCATCTGGTTCGCCCAGGATGTTGATAAGAGGTGACACTCGACTTCGTTTGTAGAGCGAAATCTCCGGATTATTTTTAAAATAGTTTACTGAAGGATGCCGAGCGCATTTTTTTTATCTAATCCTAAAGAAGATATGTACAGGAAAATGAAGGTTGACCTACTCCGCCGATTTCATCTATAAGAAAATGTTGATCCAGTCCCCACAGACTTCATCTTAATTTAGGAGAACCCTTCTTACAACGCTTTCTTTGCACGAAGAATTAGTTGATTGCCAACCCAAGAACAATTTTATCGAACAATTCAATTGCACAATGAAAATGCATTCCTCGAAAAGCTTAAAACTTTTTTTGAAGATTATCGACTGCAATTGACATGACTCTGTTGTCCATATGGCGCAATCCTGTCATCCGCGTCACCTCGCATCTCAATAACGAGATAGAAAATCCTGGGCTAATAAATCCTTACATTCAAAAAAGAACCCCTCATACTGTACTTATAGCCTATAATTTGTGAACACTGGAGTCCTTGATGATTCTTTCCAGACCAAACTTCTGCATCTTAGACTTAATGCAAATTCATCTTCACAATTTGTTTAAGCATTCGCGGAGCCTGTTGCGTTTATGAGAAGCTCTTAAGAGCGTTGCCGAGCAGATCGAGGACCTCTGCATAATATTAATGATAAATTTCTAGATTATTACTAGATTATTACCTAGATTATTCTCAATTATTACTGTGGGGAGATGGGAAAACTGTGTCAAACCTCTTTCAAGTCAAATTCAGAGGGACCCACAAAATGTGATTTCGCGAGTTTTCGAGTTCATGAAACCAGCATGTTTGCTAAAAAAAATAATTAGAATTTTAAGGATATTCTGGGTATTAAACTGCTGGAAAAATTGAGCAACAGTATGCTCAACATGAAAGCAAGTTTACATTTGCGCAATTAATTATTTACAAGTACTTTTGAAATAAAGCATTAAGTTACATTTTTATTGCTTTTCTATTTACTGAGTCCTTAGATAGCCCAGAGGGCTCTCTATAAATTATTGTTGGGAGAGCCTCAGCCTATGAGTTAAGGAAATCTTGACACATTGCTTTCTTGAGGGAATTCAGGCAGGCATTAAAACGAATAATAATTCGACCTGAAGAGGTCTTCGATTTGTGGAAATTCAACTACACTTGCACCTCAATAACTCAAACCTCCTCAGTCAAATACCTTCCTAAGTCGATTTTTTTTCAAGTCCCAGTCGGACTTCCCTTACTAACAATGCATTTAAAACCTCCTTAAACTTGAAGGAGTTTTCTTCAAAAGCTACAAAACTCAAATTTTCTGAGGCATTCAGGCTAATATTTTCTTGACACTGGAAAAAAGCAATAATAAAGTAATTTGACATTTTCTGCAGGAAGTAAAAGATTAATTGGCCAAATGAACCCGTGCCCCAAAATTCAGCATCCTGTCAACTCCTTTGAGAAGCAATTTAAGGCCCAGAATATCCCCATTTACAATTTCCTTCAATTCTTCTATGTTTCCCACAACATAAATTAGTGTTTCCCTCAATCAGAACCTCCCTAACACGACATTTTTTTCTGCTGGTCCCATGAAGTTCGACTTGGAGAGGTTCGACCAGGATGCCTGTAGAAATGGGAAAAGCAGGCTCACCAGTGAAATTCCTCCACTCCTCGGTTTCCAGAGTGTGATTCCTCCGCGTGATGGTCGTCTCGAGGACCATGAAAACCCCCGAGCCCACCAGCAACACGGCCACAAACGCAAACGTGAGCCCAGCGATTTTGGACCAATTTTTGGCGCTCATTCTGCGGAATCCCGCCTAGTTCCCGGACCGCGAACCGCAGAACTCGCGGTTCCTCCGCCGACGCACCGCTCTCCTCGCACCGGTTCACGGACTTCAAACGACTCCGCGTTGCACGTCGGCCATGAAGCGCGAACGCGGCATCCGTTCACACATCGGCATTCCATGCAAAGCCATTCGGGGCAAAGAGCGTGTCAACGAGGCACTGAGGCATATGGAATTCTCGGTGTAAGTCTCGACATACACAGCATTCACATATTATGTGCACGCATAATCGACCGATCGACGACGATAAAATCTGAGGACCCAGCGCGTGTTGGAGCTGAAGTACGACGCGGGGCAGTCGCAGTACTGCTGCAAAGCCTCTGTGGTTCAGGCTGCTATTTTTGAAAGAGAGTAGACGCATAAATTGAATCTCTTTGAGAAGAATCTCTTCGCGATCACAAATAATTCATTCTTGGTCCATGCTACTGTAATATGTAGACACAACAGAGTACAGTACATTATCATGTTTCTATACAAAACGCATTTTCCACCAAAGCAGAGATTTGTTTCCGGGGGTTCCAATAGTTTCGTATAATCCGATTGAACGGAGCTTTTATTTTTTTAAATAGAAAAATAAGACGTATTTTCCCGACGTTGTATATTTCAGTTGAAAATACATTTAAGCATCCTTATTACAAATAAAAATGTGTAAGCTCTCTTTTTACGCCACTTGTTTTAAAATAAATCAGAACCGTTTTAATTCAGTGTCCCCTGCAAATATCTTCAGGATACATATCTTCATTTAAAATTTTTTCGAGGGAATTAGAAAAATTAAAATAAGAAGTGGGAAATGAAGCCATCCGCTTTTCTCGAACGGATATTTCAAAGCTTGTAAATTCCCAGCGCAATCGCAAAAACGGAAATATTTTACTGTACTACCACGTATTCAGCAAAACTTCCAATTATCCGAATAATTTAATTTATGATTCCAAAATTTTTAGTATCGTATCGTACCTCTTTTATCCCGTGGACTAGGTCACCAACTTGGAGTAAGGGCTGAAGCACTTGGTTCCCAATACTGTATATTCTCGCTCAATTCCTCCACTGGCCGCAGAAAAAAGTAGCATTGAGAATACAGCATACTTTATTTTTCCACTCACAAAGAAATTAATTGCTTTGAACAAAAAGTGAGACAAATATAATCTACGTGTGAACAAAAATGATCAGAACTGTACTATAGTTTTGAATAACTGTACAGTACAGTACTGTACTTCAGATAATCCGAGTCCCAGTGTATCATTCAACTTCTCACGGCGCGAAGCTTTCTCTCACCCTGGTACATTTTGAAAAGATTCACATACAGCAGCAAGCAAGTACCCCATCAACCCAGACATATGACTACATTGATTATCATTAGAAGCAATCTCATTTTCCTTGCTCACAAAAGAATGCATCGTCGTTCGGGAAATCTAATGAAGGCATATTCCTCCTCATTTTCTTCTGATCAAAATACATGAATAGCTTCATCTGGACCCACGCTTGGGTCATAAATAACTTCGCTTTCTACACCTTGCACATTCATGTAATCATGAATAATGTACTTTCAACCAAATATTTTCAACCTGCAAGGAAGATTGAGAAGTACTGTACCAATAAATTATATTTGATGTCTGGATTTACGCCAATATGGTGATAAATCGGATTAAGAGGCTTCAATAGTCGTAATTGTGGGTGCAGGATAAAATCCTGTGGAAGAAAAATTCCATGGCCTGAAAATCCTGAGGCCGATAATCCAGTAGGCTTAAAAACCTTGTGGGGTCCGAAAATCCCACAGGAACCAAAATCCCGAGGCATGAATTTTTGTTTCAGAGAAGTCCCCTTTGACAAATGCGACAGGTTACGGTGTGTACACGATTTCTAAATTATAAAAAGTATAAATGCAATTTGATAAGTCATATTTCATTCTGACAAATTTCAATGTAAAGATTCAACGTTCAATGCATGATAAATACCAAAAGAATCACGTTTTAAAAATTCAACAAGTTTTGAAATCGACAAGATTTCCATCCAGAGGCCATGGAAAAATAAATGCACTGATTTTCTTGTCTCCATCCTGTCTTGACATTTGATCTACCGTTCCATCCCTGACACCAAACAAGAACCAGCTATTGTACTTACTACTACTACTACTTTTTTTTACGTAAAACCAAGACACACTTTTCAAGTTCGTAGTACGCAGGATTTTCGTTCTTGCGCGATTTTTGGACCCCGCGAGATTTTTAGGTCTATGGGATTCTCAGCCTTACGGGATTTTCGGGCCGCGGGATTTTTTCATGGATCCGTAAAAGCTGATGCCTTGAAAGTCTCCGCGTCTTAAAATTTATACTTCCTGGATTGTTCATTCGTCTCTGAAGCGAGGACAATGAGTAATTTTCAAAATTGATAGGAGCCAAGCATAGAAGTGAATTGTGGCATCAAGGTTGAACTTTTGTTTCCGTATGAAGAATTGGTTCACACTTTTCTCTCTTGGAGGTCGGACGGAAAGGTGCAAGTTTAAGGCAGGGAAAATCCTTATCTTTTTTTCCACAGAGAATTACTTCACACACGAGACAATTTTATCAACCAATTCACTATTTTCCCGCACTTATTCATTAGGCGGGAACTTTCGTTTATCGGAGTTGCTTGGTTTGCGCCACAGCCTGTCTTCTAATTATCTAATTCATCACAAGAAATTATAATTTCCCTTATAAAGTTATGAATATTTTGGGCGGGCCCACAAGCTATACTACAAGTGTTGAACCTAATGAAGGTTAATTACCGCTTTGAAAAAATCCGTACTCATTTGCGCACTCAATTAAAGGCCTTGGTTCATTGTTGAATGAAGGCCACTCAGAGAGACCATGAAGTAAAAATGGAAACAATATAAAAAATTGATGGTCTATTTAGCGTATCCCAAATTATCTAGAATACAGTAAATTCCTGGCTAAATAAAAATTTCACGAAAAAAAAGAGCACGAAATTCGCCTTCTTTCTTCAAAAAAATAATAAACATACTGACAGCGACCTTTTCGACTTCGTTGTCCGTACAGTACGTGATACCACGTGCTGCACTGCTTACACAAGTCGTCTGCTAGAAGTTATGACTATAACGTATAGTTGAACAAAAAAAATCACATTACACCTTTAAAATCAGTGATTCCAGCTCTTTGTTTATGAGTGAAGTATTGTACAAAGGTACTTCATCCGATGAATTTAATGCGTTACAATGGGTGGTTTGTTCCAAGATTGTCCATTGTATGAGTCACTCGTTTTAGGGGCGCGCTTTCACACACAACTGAATTAATTCGTCCCAGAATGATGGTCGAAGTTTAAAAAATTACACAGTCCTGAATCAGTGAGTTTCGGTTTGATTTCAACAGCACAGCTCCAGTCATATTTTAATGATAACCATCAGACGTAATAAGGAGCAAAATTGAAAACAGGCTTGGTGAGAAAAAGAAATTTTTAAGGGAAAGAAATTTGCACAAAAGCAACTGCTGTTGCAGACTGGAAAAGTGCTATGGACGCATATTGGCGGGAAGAAACATTGTATGGGACACCGTTCGTCATTTTTCTTTGCGACACGCACATCCGTTTCATTATGAGGAAAATCTACTGCTCAATGCAAGTGATTACCTCATCCTAACGGATTGGAATTATAAATTTCACAATTTTTTTTCAACTCGAGGAAATAATGAGTCATCGGATAAAAAGTTTCAATTAACTCGGGTCACGTAATCTACATAGACCGTAGAAAAAGTTTACATTCTTAAAATCAATACGTGTATTTTGTTTGAACTTCGTGGTTCAGCAGAGTACAGTAATTCGAATGACACGAATATGACTTGGTCAAGAAGCCCAGTAAACTCAGGTACAGTACTGTATATGCAGAACGGTGAGTCATCCGTTCTATGCAGTTACGAAAATACTACTGAAGGTATAAAAATGATTTTATCAATTTAAAATTTTGCAAAAACACACCATACATTACCTGGGGATAATAAGTTTACATTCGCTAATTAACTGATTCTTCCTCAACACGAGATGAAACATTGTATGGGACACCGTTCGTCATTTTTCTTGCGACACGCACATCCGTTTAATTATGAGGAAAACTACACAATGTCAGACATCAAGACAAATGGAAAACAGAGTTCGCGGGAAAATGTTCGCGATTCCGTGTTCTTCGATGAAACTATAGAGATGTATTGCATTCTCAACACTGCACAACAAAGGGAACTTCATCACACTGCTTCACCGTAGGAAAGGCATCCGGAGTTCCATGCACAGCAACGCGTCACTCATTGTAATCCTTGCAATGGCGCGGATGTATAACCATGACGAATCGTGCGGTTCAGAGGCGAAAGTCAGTGATTACATTCACACTAATGGACTACAGAAATTATCGCTCGAAAACGCGCAGTTGAGGAACGTGAATCCGACGCCGGACGATGAGCAGCTGAAACTAGTTTAAGAAAGAGGAGCTTTGGTGCAGCCGTACATTCAGGAAAGCGGAGCCAATGACACAGCCGGAATGCGGCCCTCATCGCGGCCAAGTCGATCAACTGGTTTTCCTCGACTTCCTTACTTCGCACGCCGCAAGCGAGTGCGTAGCGAGGTAATTTCCGCACCCAGACAGACAACCGAAAACGCGGGAATCACGCAATGTCAGCCTCCGTGTAGTTTTCGAACACGAGCTCGAGTAGAAAGGAAGACTGACAGACGTTCAGCCAAAATTCACCGAACACGACCCTACAATTTCATTTTGCGGGACTGCGGTAGTAGCTGCGTATCTTGATAAATCAGTCGAGTTAAAATCAGGGGGAATGCCTAACCAGCATTGTTACGTGTCCGCAAACCTCATGTTCGTGTATAACGAATGGTTTTAAGAAGACGTGTCTTACGTTCGGATTCATGAGGGTTATTTTGGAAGTTATCCTAGGATGAACTTGGTTGGGTACCCAAGCTTCCAGTTGGAATCCTCCAACTCCGAACTATGTAGCTATGGGATCATATAAGTGCTTCAAGCAAGTCTGCTCGTCATTATAGTTAAGGATTTACAGAGCAGTAACATACAGTACTTTCAATTACAGCCATCATAAAGTACTCATTGCTCAGCAATAAAATTATAGACCTTTTCAGCAGCAACCTCCACTGAAAGAATGTCCCGGTGAAATCTGAACATGTTCCCACAAAAAGGCAAGTTACTGTTACCAAGTGCTTATGCATATTAACTGAAAAGTGATCGAAGTACAGTACAGCATGTAAATGTATGAGTTGAACCCATTTCCTCTGTGGTGAGCAATACCTTATTTCAAGCTCCTTTTTTAAATCTGGACGGGCAATTGGATGTCAAAAAATGATGAATGATTATTCCACAACCAACAAGGTACACCCGTGTATAATATTCTCGATTCCATCCAAACACAGGACTCGAAATAAGACGCGTACACGTATGAATAATTTTATCAGACAGTTTCTCCAGCAGGAAATTCCGGGAGTTTTCCCCATAGTAGAAATGAGTCATTCAAGGTCACGTATGCTGAACATACAGCACCATTTTTTCACGCAAGAACGAATCTCCTTGGCAGGAGTGAATGTTGGTGCATTCTGCAGAAAAATTGAAGTTTTTAGCACTAGTGCAGTATATTCTGCGAATGAAACTTCGGAAATGGGCGTAACCTGGAAGAAGATCCCAACGCTGGCAAAAAGGAAATTTTCGCATCAGCACAGCATCAAAGGCGAAAGCATACCTTACGGATATTTGAGTTCTTACTTAATGTTAACTCCATAATCGCTCAATTAAAGAACCGCTCAAGCCCGGATGTTCAGAAATTCTTCGGTCAAACTTCGACACTTCCGTGGAAGGATCTGCTATTAGTGGATAATATACGCAAGGCTGTCCGAATCACAAAAAAATGGGCAGTGTAGAAATCATACGCACTAGTGGAAATTTGTTTTAATACTCTGTGTATTTCATCACAGGACAGGAGCATCAACAGACGTAATCACTTAATTGACTGCAGCCCATGAAAAAAAAGCTCCACGGAACTTTTGGAACGAACATATATCAGACAGGCAAATTCAACAGTGTTCCACAGTACAGTAAAATATTTCAAGGTTCATCACTTCGGATGTCCGTGGAAAGGAAAAACGTAGCGATAATCTGGTCATTGACTTCGGATCGCTCTAATTCCACTTTCAACGCCATCAAATTCTTCCGATGCGTTGCAGACATCAGGTGTTTCTGCAAAAGTGACTTGCTGTTGATGATGCCTGGTGAGGATTCTTCGCAAAGACGACATGTCGCAGGAGACGTCTCCAAGAGATCAAACGAAAACTGATCTAGCTCAACGTATTTTCGTTTCAGTTCCTTGGCATGCAAATATTTCCAACCAGACTTCGCAGCACGAACAGACACTCGGTCACCGAAGACTAGTACATCATATGAGAGCGATACTATTCGATGCAGCACCTCTTTTTTCTGCTGGGGAGAAAATTTTTGCATGCGTTCTCCTGAATTGCAGAGTTCGAGGAGTTTCCGAACTATGTTGATTCGTGAAACATCGTAGTCGAAGAGACACGTCGGAATTTCCATGAATTTGACCCACGACGACCCCAGGGTCTCTGCTGCATGATACGCGATGATTTTCGAGCAGATCCCGCCATCTTGTACGTATTCAACTTTAGGCGCGAACAAAGCAGCGCATATCGATGGAAATCCATCAATTGGAGGAAATACTGTAGCATACCTTAATTGGCTGATACGCTCGTATTCAACGCATCTAAGAAAGGCGCACATCCTTTGCTCTTCAAATAGACCGACAGTCGAAACTCCTGAGAGTTTTGAAAATTTGTAATAAGACTCGAATACATCGGCGTAAGGCTTTAGTTCGCAGGCAGCTGGGGAATAAGGACCTCGAACATCTTGAATCCGAGCTTGGTTTTGCTCCGCCTGAAAGCGAATTTAGCATCAGTCGGCGTTACTTTTTTTCAAAATTCGAGTATACACTCCGTCTGTTACGAACATTATAAGGGAAGAAACTCAAGACGCAGAACTCATTGCTGGATCGGATGAAAGGTCTCAACAACCTATCCATGAGAATCCGAAAATCAGTTGTGGGAGTTTCACACGATGTTTGAACACTTTTGAGAAATTCAAGGTTAGCATAATACATGTTTTTATACTGACCTATAAAAAGGTTTTTCATTTATTCGAGGAGGCACGTGGGATTTTTCCGTATGCTTCTCTAAAAAAAAAGCACTGGTTCATTTCAATGGCGCCATGAAATTGTGCATTTTCATAGAATTAATTGAATGAGTTTCGATCCGGAAGATTTTGGTACAAGAGAAGACCTTCCAGGAATGGTGGACGGACTTCTCGCAATGTCCTCGTTGAGAAGCATGAAAAAAGGGTTAACATTTGTGTTAGGGCAGTACAGTACTGAAATATAAAATTGAGTCCTCAGGGCACTCAAGTTCGCAAATCAGAATCCCCCTTCAATACAAGCGCAAGACACTGACGTAACTTATGAACCAATATTAGGACTTCTACTCTTTCGCGTCCATTATGGAAAGGTGTCAGCAGACGTGGGTATTCGCAAGAGATTCGTTCGTACTTACATTGTGTGAGGAATTGGCAAAAGGTCTGCATTTAGTATTCAGACAATGCGCCATGCCGAACAGAACTGCAGGATGCGTAATGCGCGTGATCGACTCCGTGTCCAGAAACTGCACGCGGACTGAGAGTTCGGTCCAAGTGAAGCTCTCGATTTTGAAATTCCTGAACAATTTCCGGATTTCATCCTCCAACGCATTACGGCAAGGACTTAAGCTCTGCCATTTGAAGACCAACGACTTTTTCACCTGATCTGGTGTCGCATCGCAATGGGAGTTTTCTGCCTTGCCGTAGAAGTAATTCGGATACGCACTCGCTGCGGTCAGCAAGTAGAACATCATGCGGGAGTAGGTTTCAGGAAATGAACATTCTGGGAGCCTTGGATTTCCAATTTTTAAAACTGCCGAAAAAATCTCGTGATACGCTTTATTCGCAGCTTCAACCGCAATCGGATTCAATCGGACATAAGGCGGATTTTTAGTCTTTGCGACAAGATGGGCCAGTAAATCCGAATCCTCGGCCAACTCCAAGCGTGCTATTAAGACTTCGGGAGCTTCGGCAGGAGGAGGAGGAGAGAAGTACGGCACATCAGTCCGAAGAATCGCCGCGAGTTCAAGACTATTTTGCCACGCTCCGAAGCACATCCCAAAGAAAACAAGGCGCGCTTCAACCAGGGAGAGCGACATTGCATGCATCAATGATCCAAGCACGGTGAGCTCCATCCGATCGGAGCCGGTTGTACACGCGAATGCATTCTGAAGTCTCCTCGTCGCCGCGTGGATCATCAAACTAGGTGTACCATTGAGGCATTCCGAAAGAATGCTCCGAGGCGTACTGTTTCCTCGACTTGCGAAAATAGCACTCACGATTGTCCTCTCCAGGTCATGTCCAGCATATTCAGGGCTAAGTTTGGACAACATTTTGAGATAAAATCTGGATTAGGTTGCAGGAAAAATCGCACGAAACTGCTCCTCAAACTGCACTGGCCTCCAAAGGGAAGAACTTATTTAACAGTAGGCCATCTACATTGGTTCTACTTCGATGTTTTTAGGTACCCTTGAATGATAATCCAATTCTCATCAGCTCTGAACGAAGAAACATCTCGTGTATCAACAGTACAAACGTAAATACCAAGCAACGGGAAACTACTTCGCTGACACAAAAGAAACCCTGTAACGACACTCTTGGAAAGTACTCCACTGAAGCCTTCGTGTACTTTAACGTGAAGTGGAATTCGTGCGACGACACTTTCCATCGTAATAAATATATAATTACACAGGAAATGAGACCCGGTGCGTAATATCTAATGCTTTGTACCTGAGAAGAGTAAGCCTACATTTGGAACAGTGCTGCCCAACATACAGCCCGCGGGCCACAGATCTGCTGGCCGGCCCGATTATGCTCATCATCTGGCCCGCGGTACCTTTCAGTAAATTTTCAAGGTGGCAGCCACATCCATTCAAAATACTGCATATTGAAAAATGCATGCAAAAATTCAAAATTTGACGAAACCATACGAAAATTTCATGACTAAAATGTGACTAGATGCATATCACTAGATTACATTTCAAACTCATTGAATAAAGGAAAAGTTTGACTCTCAAAAGTTGTCTTTTGTGGCCCTCAAGGACTCTTATCTCCACAATGTGGCCCTTGGCCACATCTGTGCTGGGCAGCACTGAATTCGGAGCTTATCTCTCGTTAAAAAAAATTAACGAGTGTATTGTACAGTATACTGCAGCAAAGACGTACTTGTGATCGGGAAGCTTAGCAAAGAAGTCACTTGTCATCAGATGAATTGCAGTCCCATCCATTAATCGGCCACATCGACCTTCTCGCTGGATGTTCTGCGCCTTAGAAGCCCACTGATTGCTCGACGCTCTTCGTCCATGAGCAAGGCAGATTGACTTTTTTGTCAAACCGAAGTTTACGACTAATATGACATTCGGGATGGTGAGAGAGCTTTCGGCAATGTTAGTTGCTACGATGATCTTCCTTTTAGAGGTGCTCTCCTCCAGGGCAAAGCGAATATCTTGTTTAGTTGAATCTTTCTTCAGAGTTCCAACAGCGAAATCGGAATTTTCCGAAAATATCTCAGAAAGCAGGTTTACGTCTACTGCGCCAGCGGCAAACACCAGGAACGTGCCTCGAGGCATTCTCTTATGCATTTCCTTCAACAGTTCGAAAGATTCTTCTCCTCGGCACTGGTCAATCAAACAATTAGTGTCAAACTTCACCGCTTTCTGTATGTTCAAGGCTTCCCAAATTTCATCAAGAAAATACCGTTCCACCGAGAAGGTGATACCAGATACGTCCACAACAGGCGCAAGAAATTTTCTAACGTCCAGTTGGGCCACGAGGTTCCCAATATCGCCACAACATTGACTGAAGTAACCACGTAACGATTCCACATCTGGCGTGGCTGACATGAAGATGATTTTTAGCGGCGGACAATCGCTTTTCAAGTTTCGCTCACGGGAATACCTGTCATAGAGAATCTTCCTCGCCAGTGCGAGCGAAACTTGGAGATCACACGACAGTTCATGAGCTTCATCGATGATCAGGTGTGTGATATTTTTCTCCAATTCTTCAAGACGTCTGGACAAAATTCCAACTGTAACGTACTCAATCAAGCTAGTCGCTCGACATTCAGATCCTGAACGAACGTGATATCCGAGCAGGCGCCCCATCTCCCAATCGAAGCTGAAGTTCTTCATGTAGCCATGCAAAGAGAGTACGGAAAGTCGACGTGGTTCGCTGACCAAAATTTTGCAGGACCACGGATATTTCTTGATCTCCATATGATAATCAGCAATCATTCGAGGCACTAAAGTGCTTTTCCCGCTGCCAGTTCTCCCGACGATAATGCTCACAGGACTGGATTGAATAATGGCCATGAGTTCTTTCATTTTATACTTCACAGGAAGGTCCGGATATTTCTTCAGACACCGAGACATAGCCTGCAAAAGACATAAAATTACGCATCGCATGCTCTCAAATGAACCAGGTGCTCTTCAACGTTTACGCGCACGAGAGGAAAGTTTCAATTTTGAAGCTCTATATGATATGGTTAAAAAAAATCGGCAGTGAAAATATTCATGAGAAGAGCATCCTGTAATAACCCGCATTTACTCGGATAAGCACCGTGCGCTCCTTTTAAACGAGTACAGCGAACAATGAAATGGAAAATGAGGAAAATTGTCCACGATCCATTCTTGAAAATCAAGCTGCGCATAATGCACACAGGCGCCGGGTGTTCGAGTACTGTACAGAAAATCTTTTCCAATTATTTGCTCGAAAGGCCCCAACTTATCAAAAACGCAATTCAGCACCCTTGGCACGGAACTTCATCCGTTATTGAGTTTAGGGCGTTCATCGCCCTATGCTCAGTATCAGATGAAACGAGCCCCACGAAATCTAAATTTTCATGCAAGGGCACTGTCTCCTCCCAAAAGATGCGAATGGCTCAAAGTGAGAAGACCTGGACTGAAACCGAAGTCGGTGAATAGAATACGTGCGTTGCCCACCTCATCGAAAGCCATCGCAGTGCGAACACGTGAAACGATCAGGATGTATCACGGTGCCGTAATCCGTTCACAACCTCGCTGGACTATCCGACGATCCTCCGTTCGCAGATTCCTCCGCTTCGCAACTTCGAAGGCAATATCTATCTAAATTGCTAAAAAACGCAGAACAATTTTAGAGGAATAGCACGAACAAGAAGACTTTAGAACGAAAATTCAAAAAGCTCCAGAACTTCACTTACGGAGAACTCCGAGCAGACCTGTTGAGGACCCACATACATGCGGAATCTCATCTCGACCTAACAGAAAAATTCGCAGAAGTCATCCACAAATCCGAGTTTTAAAGTAAACTGTTCTACTCACAACGAAGAGATAAAAACGGAAATGAAATCAAGAACACGACATGAACGAAGGAACCTTCATTGTAAGGATGATTTGCTCTCACTTTAAAATAATACGACATATATCATAACAAATCTAAAATACGACTGATTTACAAATATCCCATTTCCTTTCTGTGCTCAACATTCATCGCCCTCTTCTACACAAAGCACGAAAAATCGCCCGAATGGCTCCGATCCACAAAAAGAAATAACACGCGCACGGGACATCCTCTCTCTGCGACGGTTATGTTTTGCGGGATTCGGCTTCCATGATTAAAAAAAAAAAACCATCGGGGCTAGTGTCTTAACCCCCTCCCCTTCCCCACCCCGATCCATGCTTACTGGCATCCTCAATCAGAGAAAAACAAAACATTCCAAATATGTTGTCCTTCTGCGGTTGCTATCACAGACTGATCTTGGGAAAGGCAAAAATAAATAAGGGCGTCGCGTTCGGAACTGAGGGCGAGCGGTTACATTTCAGATGGCGGAAGCGAGTCACATCAAAGGAATTCAGGTTCGGTTTACAGTCCCCTTTACAAAAAACTGCGACAAAAAAGCTTTGACTTGGTTTTAAGGCAACGAGGCTAAGCGACACGATGGAATCCTGGTGAAACCGGACGATTCCGTTGATCATCCCGTGCTTATTTCAACAGGGTGCAAGGCGGAAATGCACAGGAAGCCTTGCGTCACAGACCCCTTCTCTCCAATAACCATCAAGACATCGACCTCCAGCATTCACATCATCTCGACAAGAGAAAACCCTCACAGACGCGAACAAAGCGACACTCCTCGCACAGAAACGCAGACGGAACGTGGCAGACAGATGAATAGAATTCCCCACTTAATTACACCGAGAGAACAATTAAGCGCATGTTCTACAGCAGCAACATAATTCAAACCAGTCGACACAAGAAATCCAGAACAATTTCAACTAACGCACACCTCTAGTCCACAACAAATCCCTCCAATCACGTGCAAGAAGATGCGAAAAACAAGCAAGCGAGGTTCACGCGGCCCCGAGCCTCATTTTTGGTCCAACAACCCGTGGAAAGTAGTCTACTCGAATATGATTAATCCTGCTTTCTTTCTCCTTAATCTCATGCGTCGTAAAAACATTCAGATGGACAACTGAACGAATTCAACGACTTTGTTGTCTGTTGTTTCTTGGAGGCTTTGAGAAAAAAAAAAAAAGATCTGCGCGAAAAGCTTCAATAAACAAATCATCCACGGATCTCGATGTAGCTGCTACGACACTCGAAAAGTGCAGGCAAACTTCTAATTTCGGGGCACGGAAAAAGACAAAAAAGGCACTCCTTGCACAACTTGGGGGTCAGCAAGCTAGAAATCTTGCTCACCGTCCATGACAGTGAAGCCAATTTTGCTAGTACATCGAGTAACCGGTTTCAATTAGGGATTAAGCAGGGCTTTCCCGCCGCCACGCTTCTGTTTCCCGCCGCTACTACCAACGTGCTTCTTTCCCACTTTTCCGCGCTGATGACCACCGCCCCCTTCGCCATCCGCTCCTTCCTGCGGCATCGCCTACAATGCAAACCAATGCCGCAGAAATCAAAGCAAACGCATCTCTGCCTTGTGCCAGTCTAGTCCTGTACCTCGTCAGACTGCTTCTTCTTCCCTTCTTTCTCCATTTTGATAGACTTCTCCACGGAAACTAAAATGTACCACATCAAGAAAAGAAAATATCAGCAAAATAGAAAGTCCGTCTATGATCGCTGTTCTGAGAAGCCACAGTCAGCTTTGATAACCTCTTAAAATCCCTTTGGCTAACAATCCCAGGCTTAAAAACACAAATAGATGAAAAACATTTGAAAAACAAATCTACCCACTCTTCTATTTAATTCCGGGAAGAAAAGCCGAAACTTTACAAATGGCATTTACACATCAAATGAAACAGTATTCAGATCCTTCAAATGTCAAGATATCTTATTCAGATCAATTATAATCTCGAAAATTTTAATCAGTGCGAGGGCAAACATTAAAAATAAGACGGAAAATTTGAAAGCGAAACGAGACGCTGCAAAAGTACCTTCACTTTTAACAACGTCTACGGGGGCAGATGGAGAAGATTCGGCAGGGGATGGTTCCTCCTTCTCAGTTTCCCGAGCATCCAATGCAGGGTTTGAATCCTGACTTTCCGCTTCTGACGTGAGACCGGCGCCACTGGATCGTTTCTCTCGATTACCTAAGAAAGGAACAAAAAAAAAGTTGATGGAAAATTTTCTCTTACGAGCAACCTAGTGCAGTACCAATTTTTACAGAAACCCGGTACAACTTGATTGAGGAAAAAAAAAAAAGAACGATCGACTCACCCAGTCGTCGTCTTCTTCCAGATAATTTCGTATCAACACATTCCTCACGAATGCTGTTATGTCTTTGCTCTTTGGCATTGCGCAGCTCCTTTCGAAGCTGTTCATTCAAACTGAGGCATTCTTGAACGATGTGCTGAATAAGAACGGAAAATTCAGTCATTCTCAATGAATTAATTCATATGAAAACACTTGATTTTACCATAACTTCTCCCATTTGCTTCGATAACGTCGAAGATGCCTCCGTCAGTCTCGAGGCAGTTGAAAATGAGACTTTAACAAATTTTTGGTGATGACTCTGCGAAGCTCCTGTCTTGTCTCGGCGAGACCCACCCGTTTCACCAGATGTAGCTGCAATGGCATCTTCCTCACTTACGAGCAATGCTTCGTTCACAAGCTCATGGACTCGCATGGCTGAATAAAAAGGTAACATTCCATACGATGACATCTTTCAAATCGTCAAGTAAGTCAAACCTTGATTCATAGATGCAATAATGATCTCTTGAGGTTCTTTGGCTCCTAATACGGATGTTTCATGTGCTTCTGTTGCGATATCTGCTATTGTTTCGAAGTCAGACGGAGGAACGTGCAGAATTTCGGCGACCAATGCTCGCTTCTGATCAAAATTTTTTCGGATCTCGGCATCTTTCCTTCGCAGTTGTTCTGAATCCCAGATTCAACGGTGTTGAAAAAAGTTGAAGAAGTCAGAAGATGAGAAAGATATCGGTTCTCTGGGATAAAGAATGACTCAACACCACACAGATGGAGAGTGAAGAAACTTGCAACAGAATCAGAAGAATGCAAAAGCAAACCCCGGATCTTCACAGGCTGAAACATGAATGCTTAGTGCGGAATATTGCGCCACCATGAATAGCGGATTGAAAAAGAAAATGAACTTTTTGAGAGGAAAACATTTCTTACAGTCACAAAACAATTGAAAAGTTCGTTCGACGCACGACAGAAACGATTCGTACAATCCTCAAACATTGACAATATAGTGTGTTCATAATCATAACTCGTCATGAGCTTTTCATTCGGATCTATCTTTATAGATCTTGAATCCCGAACTGAAAGACAGTAAATTCAACTTTCCGATTCGAATTTCAAAAAGCACGCCTTCATATAATTTTAATAAGCTCTGCGAGTTTTTCCAAGAGCTTGTCCGGCATTAAATTTCGCAAAATGAAAACTAATCAGGCTACAGAAAATGGAGAATCAATCACGTCTTCAAATGCATAAGGAAGCGCATCTTCAATCGAGAAAATGAGCAGCAAGGAAAGGGTGAGAAGGACAATAGAAAAACGAAGTACCAAAGCACCAGTATACCTATGGGCGTAAGAATGGGTTCTGCGGTGAGTATCGAGGCCGGACCATGCGAAACCACCACCTCGGAAGGCTCAATCAGCTGAGTGCCCTCAGCGATTTGGAGAATTTCCACGCGTTGGTATCTACGTTGTGGAGTAGGAGACGAGCCTCCGGGTTGGGCAGACCCAGCGGAGAAAGAGGATTTCGGAGACAAACCATTTGCTCCTTCTTTCACTTCTGCACCGCCTGTATTGCGAAATGTTCGTCATGCGAACACCCATCAATCCAAAAATCGAGTTTACAATTGTGAAAAGAACCCCATCGTTAGAAGCCACATAGCCAAACATGTGCATGAGAAAAAAAGGTAGAAAATGGAGTATATAAAGGATTCGAAAAAAAAAAGACCCTGGATCCCACGTTAACATGCAGCAAGGCGAAGGAGCTCCGGACAAATACGCACCCATTTTCTGTTGCCTTTCTAATGATCCTGTCGATCCACTGCTGGGGCTGAATGGTACCGGAGAGGCTGCCTCGATTTCCACGTTCCCTTCCCTACAATGTAAATACGAACATAATTTACATTTCCGGCAAGGCTTCAGCAGACGGCGCACGTTGATTGTAAAGATGAATAAAAATGTCCGCATAAACAAAACGAAAGTCATTTCAAACCAATTCACACGAAATGTATTACGCTCGAAAGAGTTTTTGAGGCCTGAACATGGTTCGGATCTATTTTTACCATAACAATTTTTACCGGACATGCGGTAAAACAAAACAAAAATTATATATACAGTACCTTAAATATATACTGTTTATGTCATGGAAATTAACTTCCAAAACGTATTGACATCAACCTCACAAATAGAGCACCACAACGTCATGAGTAAGCGGTACCGCATCCTTGTTTTCAGAATGTCCCACGTGCACTTCGATCACAATCGTTAGTCATCTTTGTTTTATTTTTAAACAAAGAACCACTCACTGCTTCAACTGGGACTGGCTAATATTGGCAGCCGCACCCTCTTCCTCAAATTCATCGACAGCGGGATTGGCGTCCGCAGGAACCTTGATGTTCGGTTCCGGCTTGGACGCCTCTGAAACCGCCTCAATATGTCTGAACCATCTGCAAAGAATACAGTCAGTTCATCAACGAATATAATCTTCACTTCGATGAAAATCATTAACGAACAAATTTCGGATATTGTGACGTGAATGGCATAGTTTTCAATAGTAATCATCAACTCCTCTCGTGTCTTTCCACAAGTATTCCCGACGATATGAATCAAATTTAGAATACGGCAATTCAAGCCAAGCATTGGTCCTGATCAGGGTACCTTACGTTTTTCAATTCCACGCACAAACAGGAATTCTTTATCAATTGTCCCATCCTACTTGAAAAAATATGGCAATAACAAGAATCAACCGAAATCCATGAACATATTCATTTCGGAAGTGAATTACCTTACCGCGAAATAGGAAAAAACGGGCTCGACCAAGAGTAGGTACTTCATTGTAATCTAAAAAGGAGCGCTGGTGGGAACTGAAACGAGTGGGATCCGGCAATTTTTCCCGTCCCATCCCCGAACTAAAAATCGTCATCACGAACCTTCTTCTAACGAAAAAAATTATTTTCATAGTGACGTCATGAGACGACGAATCAAGTCATGTTTACATGGTCTCCTTCGGGCTAATCAAACCAAATTTCAAGGTGTCGTCGAAGAGAACAGTTTTTCTTACTTGGGTCAGGAACTTCGAAAAAACTTTGATTTTTGTTACTGACGTGAGAAGATGCCCGATATCCAATCAAGAATGCGATGTCAAAAAATCATTAAGCATCACATGAAACGGCCTCTAATTCCCCACTCAGAAAGATTCATTTTTAATACTAGAACGGCGTACTATTCTATGCTGTAAGTGCAAGGTATTCCGAAATCCACGGCTTGAAAATAATGTGATACAGTACTGTTCTCCGAAATTCTCCGCGGTTTACAGTACGCAGTGCCATTTTTCGTGAAGTGACATTTCTGCGCGTTTTGAAGGTGGTTCAAAATTTTTCTCATATGCTCACATCAACACCTGGAAAACTTGGGTGAAGTATCCAGTAGGTCATACCAGGTTTGATCCCGACCGACAGAAGATTTTCCATCAGTGAGAGGAAACAAAACAGGAATTGAGAAAATGTACGGAAGTGTCCCGAATACGTTCAGAAGACTCACAACCCAAGAGCTCATGAAAAAAAAATCCGAAGCATGATCTTGTGATACATCACAAAAAGCGCTCAACCGCTCCCCTTCACATGGGGGAAGCAAGGGCGGAGAAGTGGGTACAAGCACGTCTCAATGAACAGTACAGTACAGTATTACCAATTTAATCGACTTCATGACAGCGGGTGATCTACTCAGTTAATCTGCACCTCCTCAACTTGGCAGAAAGGTATTAACATCGCGCATCCAATGCGGATAGAACACGTATACACCAGGAGACATTGCGCATTTTGTGGCCACCAACCGTGCATAAAAAAGAAAACGAATCGTATCGCTGATCTAAAAGGTGAATTAGATGGAACAAGTAACTGGATTTAGAAATTGGACGAAGCATAAATATTAGCGCAAAAGAAGTGGCAGACATTTAAATTCAGCAACATCGATTTGACGAATGAGTGAATACCTATGCATACACAAAAATTCAAATGAAAGATTCATCCCAACCCTGCAACGATTTAGATCTTAAAAATTAAATTAAAAATTTGACTTAATCTTCAGAAATGATGATAAATAATTGGATCACTCCAGACGTGATGGAGAACAAGTTTTCGGCGGCTGCTCAAAATTAGCCAGTGGGATTTGACCACCGTCGGATTATGGAAAATTCAAACTATACAGAGTAACATTCGGTAACCGCCGACCGAATGATCGAATAGCAGCGTGATTCGATCTTTGTATTGTACTGTATTCTACCGAAGAACAATGACAAGAATACTGTTCCGTACTCTGTCGGACATTTTAGCAATAATCTCGCAATTTGCACTGTATTCCTTTAGATAGGATGATTATTACAGGGAAATGAAGCTGCTCAAATTTAAAATATACAGGAAGCCGCTTATCCCCAGAATTTTGATGAATTCAAATTGGAGGAACGTTCATAGAAGTCAGGACAATCTAGGTTAAAATGCATACTGCACTTTTGACAAACAATTGTATTATAGGATAATTTATCAATAGGCGAGAGTCCCGGGTGGTCAAGCGGAATAAAAAAAAAGGTTACTACCCATGGAAACATCCCGCGGGGACCTTCAAAATGAACATACGATTCATCAAAACTGTGTCGCTGCATTTTTTTTATATTACTTGAACACGATTCCGCGGGCTACTCGTCAATCGACGTTGCATCACCTCGTCTTCCGGCTGAGCCAGGGCGTCATTGAGGGCGGCGAACAGGCTGCGATGCCGTCAGGAGTCGACGCGCCGCTGCGAATTTTCGACTTGTCACGGGACTTGAGGTCCGACGCTTGCCGCGGCCCTGAGGCCGCCGCCAACACCTCATCGGCGTTGGTCCCCGGAGACGTGCTCCGGGTCCGCGATCGGTGGCCCAGACGCGCGTGAGCCCTTCGCTCGTGAGAGAACAAATTCGCGAGACTTCCAAAGGTTAGGCTTCCGCGTCGCAGTTGCGCTTCCGGCTTTCCGACACCCTTCATCTTCGGCTTGCCCGGACTCGACTGAGCCGGCGACAGATCGCGCGGGACAGATGATCGCTGCCCGAAGCTCGCAGACGACGCGGTGCTGTCGCCCACGCGCAAAGAGGACTTGCGACACACATCCCTCAACATCCGGAGGGAGCCCGAATTCACCAGGCGCTCCGGATTCTCTTGATGCCACATTCTGGGCACTGAATCGCACCAATTCAACATAACGGGAAAACTTCGTCGCGAAACTCAGTCCATCTTGCGAAGCGCGTACGTTGTCAATTCTGCTCTCGAAAAATACTCCTATGAGCAATCACGATCACCTGAACGACACTGCAAACTGTGAGCGGATGGGTCGATTCGATAGTTCACGCCGCTCCTCTGGGTGAGTCGTAATACGACTTTCGCCAAGAATTTTTATTCGATATATACATTTTTTTTTATATTGGAAACTGAGAGTTTTTTCACATACAAGGAAGGCATTCCATTTAGTTTTTACTTGAAAAATTAGGACTCCTTAGAGCTTAATTGCAAAATTCGTTTCACGGGACAAATCGGTAAATCTGAGTTGAAAAGAAGAAACGAGATAACTACGAACGCCGAGAAGCAGAATTTTGCTTCAATCCCGAATTGTGCCTCAATCACTCACTGCGGGGGTGGTAGCCAAATTCTAGGAGGCTGCCTTAAAATTTCTATCTAAATCCCCCATGATTCAAAATAAATCAGACAGAGTAACGGGAAATAGGATAAACTGTACGTAAAAAGAGGTACGCTAATTTTTATACAATAATAATTACGTACTTGGTGTTATAAACAATTTTGCGATTTAAAAGGCGCACAATAAAGTTCAGGAACTCTAACCGTTGAAGAAATTTCCTCGTTCACAAATATGTATTTTTTTTGCTTTGCCACCCCGCATTTTAGTGGACAATTTTGTTAGATTCCCGTATTTCAAGAGTACGTTATCTTTTCGGGGAAACACGGTACTTCAGAAAGTGATCACGCATTTCGCTTCGAAAAAATTCCAAGAAATCCTTCACTGCCAAAATATACGCGCTGGGTCAGCGAACTATTATTACTACGGATAGAAATTTGATGCTTCCAAGAAGAAACGCGGAGCGGCAGTCTACGTCAACTTCGCCCATACTACCATTGGAGTGATCTGGAAACCATCGTCCGCGTTGCCTCCCGAAAAATAAACGTACCAGGATTTTCAACCCGATCCGCCCTCGTTCTTGGGTTCAAAGAGAAGTAAAGTTTCAACGTGCGATTGCACTGGAGAAGCATAGCTGAACATATCCCGCTCAAGTAACAACGGGGTATTTTGAAGGAAGCGTTCAGTGAATGAAGCACTCGTGAGTCACGAGTCAAGATCGCCAGCCATTCACTCATTGCAGTTAACTAGGTCACGTCGGTACTCGTAACACAGTTCCGGAATCTTGATCGCTTTGGGGAATTATCTTTGTCCATTGTACAGGTGCTTAAAAAGTGGCCACTGATCCTTTTTTCCCCACAGAATGCGTTAGACATTACATAAGGATATGTTTCCGAAGTACGATTTTCCCAGAAATAAAATCGAACCGTGCAGGGTTCAAAAACGAAGTTGGTCATTCAGAGACAAGAAGTTCTAGAAACAAAAAGGAGTTCGAATCATTCATTGATCCATCCCAGCTTTGTTCTTGGAAAAATGGCTTCCCCCAAGGAAATGAAGATAAAACTTAGAGGCGCCGGGGAACGATGCAGTAAAATTTGAGTGCTACACTGAACATCAAACAGCAGCGTGGAAAACTAAACGGAGCGTTTCAAACGTAGCAACTGCATGCAGTACACCAAACATAGCGTTTGAACTCAACAACGACGCGTTCAAGAAATATAGCTTCATTTTTGGCAGCAAGTACGGTATTCTTCAGACCCTCACGCTGCACAGTACAGTTATTCTTGTTTTACAATCCGACCCAAGGAGCAAAATTCCGAACGAGACAGAATTTGAAACTTTCAATAACCCACACATCTTGCATTTTTAAAATGTCATGCACAATGAGGAACTGAATAGTTCGAAAAAAGATGTTGAACATTTTTTACGTTTGCCAGATAACCGAAGCAGGCTCAAAATTTGGATGCTCCGCATGCACTCCACTTGAAGCAGGGAAAGACAGCTTTCTCATGGAAAACTTATTTGCGCCTTTCCAGGAACGAAAATGAGGGAGGTACACGAATTCGGCGGACAAGGATCGTAGACCGAACGGAACACTGACAATGAAAGAGGAAAATTCCTTTTTCCAGAAATAGATGCCCGCGGACGACCTCGCTTCGATTCGAGTCTCAGTGCGATCCAGGATATGTGACAATTGAGTCCATGGTACTCGAGCACTTGATGCAAGTGGGGCAAATGAGGATTACACGAATGACGAGATCCTTCATACAATTCGAAACCGAAGTGGGTTCCGAATCACGCTCGCCAACAGGTAACGCCGGCACCGGAAGAAAGCGGACTGCGAGCAGCGACGAGCACTGCTTCCGTCGACGCAACCGCAGCGCGTCGCGATCGCCTCGAAAATTTTACCTCTCCGCGGCAGCGATCGCATTCCTGGACCATACGCTAACATAAACCCACAGCGTCGACGGGGCCAACGAGGGAAGCCGGATAACCCCGGGGATGATGCGCGCAATTCAACACGTGACGCAATACAAATAAACCGTCGCGCCCCCGCACCCACCGACTAGTATTCGCCGCCCCCACCCTCAAAAAATTGAGCACAGGCACCCGCAGACCGGAAATCAGCCCAGGTAAAACGATCTCTTCCTGATCTCGGAATGTCGACGGTGCGAAAAAATGTTTCGGGCGAAGAACTAGCAATCCCATGAAGACGGGCAGCTTCATTTTGCAAATTTATAAGTAAAATCAGTGTCTGAATAATAAGGCTTTGCCGGATTATATCATTGACGAGACGTGGTCGACTTGTCTCCTAGGTAACAAGTAGACCCAAAAGCTTCAAATGGGACAAAGGAAAAAGCAGTACTGCATTGCGGAATTCCCTCAACGAAATACTCATTACAGTCAACTTTCCAGTCACTTGATTCTCGTAGTTGTTACAAGTATATGTGGTCAATAAATCAATTTTCCCGACTGCTTACTCCTCCTAAATTACGGTCAAATTTTAGTTTCAATTAATTTATGAACTATTTTTCACCATTCGTTAGAAAGACAAGCTCCAGCTTTGCAAAACATCGGGTACTACAGAAAAAAAAATTCCTGTTCTGGTCTGGGAAACATTTGCCCTGCCTAAATTTTCATACTTGATCTTTACTCGAACTTTCCAAATTAATTTCAAAATCAGAAGTTTCCCGAGGAACATTTCGAACACAGCAAGATCGCCGCAAATGCCCAAGAAATATCCGAATACACTGAATATGGGGTAACACATGACAACGACCGCGATACGTCCAAAACCACCGGTAATACTATATTGCATGATCATCAGGGGGCCGAAAATGTTTTGCTATCAAGCACCAAGTACAGCACTGATACAGTACCAACGCTAAGGAAACATTTAACGCTTCGGAGTGGTTCGCGGTCGATTTGCGTTTTTCTCACTCCTCAGAATTCTAATGGCGCTTCATTGATTGACGAGTGTCAAGACAATCTCATATCGATTTTTGCTATTAGAGCAGAACCGACAGCTCTGAATATTACAGCGAAATCAAAACGATAGTCATCGTCGGAAAAATATGAAGTTTCTGGGCATCGCGAGAAGAATTTTGAGGCCTTGTGCGATAGAAGATAAATACTGTACTGATATGCAGGACTGTAATATGTTTTTCAAATCATTAGTACTGGCGGCCAATAAACTACGTGTACGAACTCCTCGGGTGATCTCCGTTACAATGGAAAGTTTCAAAACATACTGTACTCGCATTCGGAATCCGAGAACTCAGATTGTCCAGCCCAGAACGACACAGACAGCTCAACTCACAACACAACCGGAGATAATCTTCAGTTTTGATGGATTATGTATGGTATTATGCAACGTTTCCTGGTCGCAGTGGGAGTTTCATTACGAAAACAAGACGCACCCGTCAATTCAGGTTTCTCAGGTATTTTTAACGGCCATAAATACTTCAGGCACTCACAGAGAACGAAATCGGTCTACACCCATTTCGTTACTCGTCTAGCGGAAACGGTTAATGAAATCTGCCGCCTACACGTTCCGTGATCAAAGCATATGCACTACAATCCGTGAGAACGCCAGTACAGTACTTCCACCTCAAATGCGGATTGAAGGCGTTCCTATAATTCCATTTCTCTAGATCATTTACACCCGCTTCAACTCAGGATTCCTATACGCACGGAACTCACGGCATGTTCGTGAATCATGCAATTAGGAGAATGCGCACTGCTCGTACTTCCTCCCTTCTAGCGCAATATGCCATGAACATATACTTTTACTCGACGCTTTCGAATATTCTTGATCGACGCATCATCACAAAAGGCGCGCATGGACCCCTGGGACGGATTTTTCACACGGAAAGCACGTTCATTTCTGTCCATCCGGATTTAATCTATTAAACTTCAGACTAACAAGACATGAGGCAAAAAGTTGCGCATTAAAAAGCCGACATTAGTTCTGAAGATACATCTCACAATTCATTCTTCTCTCTGCATCGACAATTGGGACAACCGTAGTGGAATTAACGGTCCTTACATACCATAGTAAAAACTATATTTACAATATTACGAATGGATCTTAAAATGAAACGCATCAACCACCAGCTTTGACGAACCCGACAACCACATCAGACTTCCTCACTCTCGAAGAAGCTTCCATGAAACGGAAGCCTTCATTACTTCCGCAGCCCAGGATGCCGAACAAGCGATAAAAGGAGCAACAGGGAACTTGATATGCCGAACAAGCGATAAAAGGAGCAACAGGGAACTTGAAAGAAATAGCGGGCAACGGCATTGAATAGAGTGCCCTTTCTAAGATGAATACAAAATTGAAAATACACATGGTACCATTCGGAAGCGAAGGCAAATTTAGGCGACGAGACCAATTACGAAATTATAGGAGGAACCCAAAAATTACTCACGTTCTGCATTCCTGTACCGACGGTGAAATGATGTGATACATCTGTGGTCCACTGTCGAGGTTCATCACCAAGAAAAAAGCTTTTTTGTCTAGAATAAAAAGGAAAATAATTAGGAAAAATAAGGACAAGATAATGCAACCCAATGGCCTTACCGGTGGCAACTTGACGGACGAGCAATCCCGGGCAACTGATGATCGGGCTGTATAAATGCTTATTGTCGTCCTTCCCTGCCACCGAAGTTATGGAATGGTATTTCAAATGGAATTTATCACCGTCTTTCTGGAGTAGCATAACGAATTGGTCGGTCAGAACCATGTGCAAGTCGAGGGATTTTTGCGGGTTGTTCGACACTTTCCACGTGACACGCCCTTCATGCACCATTCGACACTTGTCCAACTCCAACGGCTGAAAAAAAAAAAAGAAACCCTTTTGAACACACTCATCTTTCGCTGTCAGTTTCATGTGATTCGAACAATTACTACTGTATCTATTTAAATTAAATATCTTGGAAAAAACTGAAAAGCACTCGATAGCGTCATTTTAACGGCAAGTAAACGACGCACACACAGTTGACAATACAATCGATAATTTCGAAAAATAAAAAGACGCCCTGAATTTAAAAAATTGAGTGCGCACGAAATCCAAAGCACATTCGGCAAGAATTCGTGAAATTGGTGAAAAATATAATTGAAAACGTACTCTGTATTGTTTGGTAACCGGATGATCAGTTTTGTCGAAAGACGAAGTGTCTAAGCGTTTCTGGATCTCGGACAACCGTTCGTTGTTTTCGAACTCCTTTTTGGCTTGGTTCACGTGGTCCAAAATCTGGCGACTGCCTGCCGAAGCTCGTTTAATCTTGCTGATTTCTTCGTCCCAATTCGACACCAGGGAGTCACTGCAAGTAGATTAATCAAGCAGGATTCAACAGAAATTTCCAAATTAAGTAAGAACGAAGGAAGAAAACAACAAAACTCGCTCGGGCTACTCACGTATCACTCGACGAAGGGTCTGACGGGGAGCTCGGACCGCTGCATTTGACGAGGTTCTCCAGGAGGAGGGGGTACTTCGTGAGGCGCTGCATCCCAAGCGGAATGAAATCCTTCAACTGCTGTCTGCGACACAACGGGTTGCTCGCAGCATCGAGCAGAAAGTTCTTCAGCTTCTGATTTTCCTTCTCTTTCATTCGCAGTTGAATGAGGGCGATGGACTGGGACTGGCAGAATTTCGCAGCCGCCTCAGCAAGCCTCTCACCGGCTTCTCCGTCAAACTATCGAACGAAGTTGAAATTGTACAAGACATTCCTCGAAAAATGTATAACCTTCGAATTATCTTCACGTGGAGTAAACCCCAATTTTCAATGCCCGACAACCACCAATATCAAGACTTGATGGATATCAAGTCACAAGTTCGAAAATTATCTATGTCGTCGATTTAACGAAGGATAATGAATCTCGGTAACAGTGAAACATCGAACGCCTTCAACTGATTCCCAAGATTCGTGATCTTACCATTGACAGGAGTAAATCACCAACTTCTCCGATCACGTTCCAGCAACCTGGCCCGTCTTTCGAAGGCGCGGCACCTGTGGGACTGCCGCTATCACCCGTTACTACTTTGGCTCGTCTCATCTGCTTCATCCGTTCGCTGAAACGTCCATGAATTTCCAGCATTTCGTCCAAGTTAGAGAATAACCCATTCAGCAAGTTCGCTGGAGCAAGGTTATTCTCCAACATCGGGCGATGAAACACCCTTGATAGCACCTTCAATTTCTGAACATGGCTTCTCTCCGTGTTGAAAAGCTCTGAAAATCATGTTCAATAATAATGAACCTCAATTGTAGTCAAATTTTCACTCAACTGATCCATTTTCAAAAAATCCCCAAGATTCTGAGGTTTTGTCCTTGTTAATAAATTAATTTCACCAGTTTCCATTGCCACATGATGCAATGCTTTTTTCGATTACGCGTTCCGAAAAATCACATCATAGAAAGAATAATACTGAAGTATATAAATTATCTCATTCAACTGAGTCCAAACTTAGGAAAAAAAATTCGTAAAAAACCAAGAAATAAAACGTGATACAGTACAGTATTGTATTTCGGATACTCGTATCATCGTCCTTAACGCGTGGCCTATGCTGCACGCGATTAGGTTTATTAAACATATTTACCTGCAAATTTGGGAAGCTTTCCCGCTTCATACGTCACATTGTTAAAATGTAACATTTCTTTCGACCTCATAGGGCTTTTAAAGTATTTCCTAAAAATTATAATGCGACCTATGATTGGATAAGACGATATTTAAGCGACGTTTTTTGTAGCTTTGTCGAACATTCCCCATTTATTGAAACCGTGGAAAACCGCGCCTCTTTGCAAGGTATGAATTGTATAAGGATATAAAATTCCACCATACCGTTCAGAACATCCTGACGCTGTTTGTCGCGGTCAGAAAGTGAGGATAATACTTCGGCATCGACACGCGACTGCCAGTCAGGGTTCGGGTCCGCATCCAAGTCAGAATCGGCTTGGTAATGCGACTGGTGAATCGCCGACGAGGATGCATCCGACGGCGATCGTCCCAAGCCCGACATCGGCACTGTTTCCAGCGACGCACATGGGCTTTCGAAGCTCCTAATGCGGATAAAATACGAGTCGTTTTGACACGCAGTTCGAATGAATCACAGACTGGTTTAAAAGGCTTCCAACGCGATGATTGTCAGGAACGCCTTGAGCCGAACTTACCCGTACCTGGTGTTGGAGAGACTAGAGTTGGAGGAACTCTCCGTGTTGTCGCCGGAAAGATAAGGGGTGTCATGCTCAGCATCGCTGAAAAATAGAAGAACACATGATCAGTCATTGTTGGACAATGGGATACACAGAATCCCAAGTTCACTAAATTTCTCCTGAATCGTCCGAAGACGACTGCCATCAAGCGAGAAAGAAATGGAGAGTGAGAACGGCAGAGAAAGCTATTCGAAAAGAATAACGAAGCAGGAAATGCGGTCGACGGATAAGCGATAAAACTAACGAGCCTGACAATACGCTGATGCTCCTTCATAAGCAGGCATTGTCGGAAAGAAGGGCGCAAAGGCGTGAACGTCTTCTCCATACGGACTTCAGGATCATTACATTTAATTAGGACCCTGGAGACGAACAAGTGCGACGAGGCAAACATCGTACGAAGCGCCTAAAATGACGGACTGCAGAATTTCGTGGACTAAGAGGGAAGAATACTCTGTCCCGTCCGCATTCAACAAGCAGATGCGCAGGTGGAGAACCGTGTCTCAAGCATCACGGCGCATCATACCCCGAAAGCGATTCTTAGCACGGCACACCTGGCAGGCTTTGTAACACCTTGCCATAAACCGCAGTAACAAAACAAACCCCCTGCCGCTGAAGCAGATCCTCCAAATAGTACGGTCGAAAAATTCTTTGGGGTTTCGACTCCTTCCACGCGAAGGATTTTCACTCAAGCAACGCGCTTCAAGAACCAGTTTTTCTTTCTCTGCGCTGTACGTACGTTTGTAACGCACTTCTGCGTTTCCTAAACCAACCATTCGTCGGACTCCCGAAATCTGCGTTTCTTCCTTGATTTTCAACGCGAGAGTTTTCGCATTGATAATCCTGCAGTTCATCGTCTTGCGAATGGTTCAAGTCAAGAAAAATATCCACGAGACAGTCGAAGTTTACAGAAATCGAGGGAACAACGACGAAAATTTGGATAAATTTCCTGCTAATACGCTCAACAGATATTTCAGGAATATTATTTTACGCTTTGCTAATTCGCAGAGAAAAGAACAAATGCTGTGCAGTCGAAAGAAAAAAACGAACTAACGATGGACGTCACGGTACAGTACAGTATTTGATGCCGAAACAAAAATATCAGATCTGAGGCGAACTGCCCGCCAATCTAGGAAACTTGGCTCGCAGAATCGATGATGGTGTACCAATTCTCTGCATCACCTTTTTCCCGTCTTCAGCGGGAGATTGACACATGATTAGAAAAAAAAAACGCAGGATTACGTCATATAGACAGCATTTATTCTATTTGGTCTCGGACTTTTCCGTAATTTTATGCATAAGCCTAATCAAACGTCGGAATAGGCTCTTTGATGCATTTATTCTGTTTGAAGATGCAAGTAATTCACAGGTTTTCTGGAACGCATTTTCCAAGAGGGGCCAGTGCAGTAAAAACCGAATTATCTGGGCGGATTTTCCAAATGATCACGGATAATTTAATGGAAGATTTTATTCAAAACGTATAACAAATTTCAAGGTAGACAATTTTACAAAACGTACAATCCCGCAAATCTTGAACTAAATAAGTCCAGATAACTAGTATTCCCATGGAAAATAAAAGAGTTGAAGTTATTTTACAGTGGATAAAAGCAATTTTTTTTTCATCTCGGTGAAGTTATATACGGGTACGTTCAATTTCAGTCCGGATAATCGGAGTTTTACTCTTTCAAAAGTTCTTCGAAGTGAACAAATATTCCTTCCCAGGAACTACGTTTCCTTCGTTTCCAGGCCCCGAGAAACTCCGAGTTGGTTCGTCGAAAGACCAACCGACCGGATTCAGTTTCACGGCACCCTCGAGTTTTTCCCGTGAGCGAGTCGAGTCAGTCGAAAAGCCGGCGAAGCATAGCACCATGCAAATGCACTCCAATGCTCTAATGACAAGTTCCCGCGCTCGGGTCAAGGCTTCGCCGCGAGATGCAGGTTCGCTCACGTTATTCAGGAAGGTGCAGGATGAACGAAATCGGATCTTCGCAACCAGGAAAAAAAGGACACTATGTACTCAAAAATAACAACTTGATTCACAAATCCCCAGGGAACAAACCAGAAGTTACAAAGGAGGGAATCATCCAACAAGATAGAAGATACTACGTGAAAAGGATACATCGTCATTCTTACGAGTACTGTACTGTATATCCTTGACGATGTCTAGAGGCAACATTCACGTACGGAATGAGTACTCTACGCAAGTAATAAAATGAACAATGAAGGATGGCGTACACTTGATTTGAAGAGTTTTGACTACACAGTGCTAAACCATAAGAAAAGTGGGAGGTAGGAATTGTTCTTGCCATTCTCACCATGAAAAGAAACGATGAGCATTCCAAAAAACTTCAAGAACTGATAATGTTCTCAGTGCAGCAAAATTTGGTAATGCACGCGGAATGTGACGGAAATTAGCAGGCGCTTTTTACATGTGACCTGAGTCATGTTGATGCTGTTTTTTTTTAATCTTTTCCTCATTTTTTTTCTTCTGAAAATTCACGAATATGATCTTCGAACATCGACGTAGTCCTTACAAAATAGTTTTTACAATTGAAACAATTAAAACATGAGAGGGTTAATGATGAAGTTTTTTTTAAACCCACTCCAGGGCACTCATTATTACTGTATTACCGAACTCATTGTCTTACTCTACAAGTCAGCGTTCTCGCCAAAATTTTCTACGCTAACTTGAAGTAAATTCCAGCGGTTTTACCCCGAGAACCATCCAAGTGATTTTCACGAAAAAAGTAGACAGCCAAACACGGTACAAAAAATCGCCGAGTTAATCATGCATCGGAGCATTTTCCGAAAATACTAAACATACATCACATGGGATGAAAAAAATTATTACTTCGGCATGTTGGGACGCTTGGCGTAGCGTTCGGAGAAGCTGCGCCTAGCCTCGGCAATGAGGGCCTCGCGCGAAGCACGGGCAGCGTTCGGCGAACTGGAGACCGGAGGCAAGGACATGGATAAATTTCGGCGTTCCATGAACCCGAGCCTGGGGCGAGACTTGAGCGCCGTCGGCGGCGAACCCGAGGATGCCGGCTGCTTTGGGCGCGGCGGCTTCACCGGCAGAGCCGCCATCGACGGCGTCGGCACGCCAGCGCCGGTCCGCCTTTTATCCAGCTCTGCTCTACTCGACCCTCGCGCCGCGCGCTAGTCTATCACTGGCGGTTCGGATGGCACTCATCACACCTGACTGGAAGTCAACGAACGGTCATCCCCATTGTGTTTACACGGGACGTAATAAAACACGAGACAACACCGCAGGCTGCGGGGGTTTAGGCCGCGGCTCTCCCACTTCACTTCCCGCTGCGGGGTTTTGTTCCTGCCATCCCGGCCCCTCTGACAATATTGGGACTGTGCCCACGAGAGCCACGAACAACACGACTACCACAGTCAAGCGAGTTCCTAGAACGCATGGTTTAGCGCAACATCCCGCGACGTCCTATCCACCAACCCACGCCCCCTCCGCTCGAGTCTATCGACGGCACACGATTCCTTCCAACTTGCTGCACGGGATCGAAAACCGAATCGAGCCACCCAGGGATGTAAAACGTCTCACACAGAAAGCGCTCACGATTTCTCACAAAAAGCGACAACCTCACGCGAGACCACACCATGACAAGCGTTATCATGCAAGTCTGAAGACGTCTACACTATTCTGATAACCGCGGCCTTCCGAGTTTTCCACAAAAATCATAGTTACGCCTACTTCGGAACTGACTGAAGCTATGTATAGAAGTACGGTACCATTTCTCCTAGCGGTCGAATTTCGAACTACACTTGGGGATACAATCCCGTAAGAACGAACTTTTGGAGATCCCCAAAAAATATTCGCGAACTGCTCCCTTGATTCAAATTGGGAATTAGAATTTACAGGGGAACTTTTATTTTTCAAGTCAGCAACATTTCTCTGTTACATCAGTACTAAACATGATCTTCAATTTTAATAAACACGCTGGTATTCGGGGCATTAGAAAGAAAGGACATTGATGTGGTGCACAGTTTTCTTCTTCGAAATGTACTTGTCACCATCTATTACTCGCCTGTCCAAAATCTCACTTTTTATAAATGATGAGAACTTCATGCAATTTTAGGTCTACGTGGACAAGAACAACGTACATTTAGCCATTTAAAAATGCTGATGTCAAACATGTAGAGGTTCCCCAAAAATTTCTAAAATCAACAGCCAATTTAAATGTGATTTGCATGAAGCCTAATGGTACATACACATTGAAAAACAATCATACGGTATAAATTCGTCGAGGAAATTTAATTTAATTGATAAAAAAACATTAAAACCGAGTGGTTTAAGAATCTCAACAACTTTAACCTTTTGAGAGCATCGGTACACGTTTGCATGATCTGTTCATTGGCAAGGATCCGCCTACTGAACAAGGCATTTCCCCGAAGGACTTCCTGCTGTGTCATTCAATAGCCAGCTCATTTTCATCAATGGCCCTTTTCTAAGTTCATTTGGTTAAATCAATGAGAGATTATGAACCCAAGATTTTTTGGACATCCGAGGGCAAAAGTGGGATTCGAAGCTGCTTGAAAGTGGTAAAATCCAGGAAGGGTAGAAAAGCCCTGAATGAAACTGTTGGACACCTCACGAGTGGAAACACACCACTTATTGATTTGCAGCCACATAGATCGTCGGGGATTTAGGAGAGCCTTAACGTCATGCATCAGTCGCGAATAGGGGTTTCATTAGAACAGAGTTGGCTCTAGGAGGCAATTAGGATTTGAAAGCGGGCGCCGCAACGGGCATCAATCACTGCGACTATCGGTGACGGCGAATGAACTATGATCGCAAATGGGTCACTCATCAGCATTCAAGAATTCAGAAAACTTTAATCTTTTACCAGTCCCTCTCGAAACAGAAGCATCCCTCGTTCGTCCCACGAATTTTACATTAACCTTACATTAATTTTACATTAGTGAATTAACCTTGAGACCAACATTTTGAAAGATTAGAAGAGCAAGTCAAATCAGTTTAAGTTTCGGTGTGAAATTTTGGTCTCACAGCTTCCGACTTGAAAACGAAAAACAGCGAGTAGCCATGGTTAAAAGTTGAACAGAACGTTTTTGCCATGAACACATACTGTAATCTTGTGAAAAAACTACGCTTTGCCATCACTAATCCCAATCCATTAAATCTGCAAGATGGCTCGGACAATTACACAACTACTGTAATAGCCGACCTTCTCTCCAATAACCAACAAGGTACGTTACAGTACCGTACTTCAGACTTGGGAGCCCTCCGTTTCTTGAGGGAAAAACGTTGGGATACTATATGAGGCGAGTGTCGGTACTGTAAAAGAAGCAGCACTGGCGATCAGAATGAATCCAACCTCAAACGCAGTATGTCCTCGATGATAATGCATG